ATTTTGAAACTTTGTACATTTCTGTCAAAACCCTAAATATGAATGATAAACGTCCTATGCAAAACAACAACGTGAAATCGCCAAAATTTGCGTCGTCTGCGAACCGAAACCGCGACGGCAAACTATTTTAATTTCCATTTGGAACTCAACGCTACTTTTATACGTCATGCTGAAGTTGAGCTGTGGCGCCATTTTTGAAATTCTTAATTTTTGAAATTATTGCAACCATTTTTGAAATTCTTGCAACCATTTTTGAAATTCTAACTAAGAGTAGAAATTCATTTTTTAATCGAAGTCTTCCTTGGCGTTGCCGTCCTGATTGCGTAAGGTCCCTATCGTTATATCGAGACGGGGTTCTGTCCCATACATTTTACTGTAACTTTTGCTGGGACATAGCATATTTATTGTTGTACCGGGAATATCATTGTATCGAGGATCCTTGTATCGGGGTTCCACTGTAGTAGCCTCATTTGAGTGTCAAACTTATGGGATTAGCATACTTTTAAGAACAAGCTTAATAAAATGGTTCCTTTAGGAGCTAACAGGCGTCAAACATTTGACTCAGAAATAAATTAAAGAAATTTCATGTTTATCATTCATATTTAGGATTTTGACAGAAAAAAGATTTGTTCTGCTGTAAGGGAACAAGTTCAAAGAATTGGTGTGAACCAGTTAAGTTGGGGGCAAACTTGTTTAACTTCAGGAGCTGAACTTGTTCAACTTGGAGAACTTGTGTAACTTCAGAGGGCAAACTTGTTTAACCTTACAGGCTGATCTTGCAGTGGGTTGAAACCTCCAGTATATCTCACTTGGCTTCAACTCCTGACACCAACAGAACTTTTGGATTTGATTGACATTTGCAAACAGACATGAGTAGTTTCAGGGGAAAATTGTGTGAAGGATGTGCAATGGCCAGGCATACAGCCTCAGCATAATTCTAAACACTAAATCATTCCTGTTTGGCCTTTAATTTCCGTTTTGCTTTTGTTTCTCCTTTGACAACATCTTTGCCATAAGGTGTACATGGACCCAACAATGTTTCTACCAGACAAAATAAGTAATTTTAAGGGATTATCAAGTAGGGTGAACAATCACCATTGGTCTTGATGTGCAGTAGCTAGTGCTGAGGAAATACATGTATTTTATCCTTTTCAGTGGTGGTTTTTAGTAGTTCTTATCTCTATACAGAAATGAAGTTCTTTTCTCTTTTCAGTGTTGGTGACAGTTCAAGTCCTAACCCATCTGAACAGGAAAATACCATGACAAGCATGTTCCAGACACCAGCCATGCAGTCCTTGATGCAGCAAATGACCAGTAACCCAGCCTTGTTTCAAAACATGATGCAGAGTCCTTACATGCATGACATGATGGAACGCATGCTACAGAACCCTGACCTCATGGCGTCTGTGAGTTAATGCATAATCTAAATAATGGAAATCAGTTTTTTACTGATATCATAGTTTCAATGAGGTGCTTTGAATCTCGTTAAAAGTGATGAGAAGAGGTTGTGAGTTCGCAAAGCAAACTTACAATCTCAAATGAAGGTGGCTTTTTTAGTTTTGTCTTGTTTTTTCAATTCGTAGAATGTATTTGCCCAATACAGTGTAGGTATATACGTGACTCTTATTTCAAAGTGTTATGTCTCAGAACTGAGCATTATACGTTAACTCTTATGACTTCCAGAAAGCTAAACTCCATTGATTTGAAATATTATTTTAGATTTAGTGATGTAGTTTGAGTGGTTTGAATTTGTTTCATTTTTTCGTGCAACAATATATTATTGTTCTAAGGATTAGTCCTACTTTACTTCTTCCTTTGTTTCCCTGAAAGTCTGCGTAAAACCTGTGTTTAACTTTTCACATTAATGTAGAAAGACTAATAATGATATGGCGATTGAAATTCAGCAGTTGCTGAATCATCAATGCCATTGTTGAGTGACAGGTGCATGAAGCTAACATCAAGGATATTGCGAGAGGCTGTAGTGTTCAGGGCTCGACACTAACGGTAGCCCACTAGCCACAGACTAGTAGAAATTCAGTTTTGGCTTGTGGTTTTCAATTTACACTAGCCAGTTTGCCTTGTAAACAGACTGATATTGTCGTAACATCTAAGATGTCACTAGCCACTTGGCTAGTAAGTTGAAAAGTTAGTGTCGAGCCCTGGTGTTTCACTGATAATCTTTATATTCCAAATATTTGATCACAACCTCATGAGAACTGACTTTGCTTTTTTAATGCCATTTCTTGGAAACAAATTTGTGGCATTATTGACCCATCCAAGAGTTGGATGTTCAGAAATAGCCTAGCCATTTTGAGCCATCCTAAATTAAGGTTTATCTGAAGGTTGTAAATTAACTCACTTGATATGCAAAGTTTTAAGTGCAATCAATTGAGGACTTAAGTGCTGTTGAACTTAAGTATTAGGTACTCAAAGAACTTAAATTACCAACTTAAACTGGAGAACATATTTTGGCCCACTAAGAGCCCCTGGGGACATTGTCTTGCAAGACTTGTTCTAAACGGTCGCAGTCCTTCTGGCATCTGATTGGTGCCAGAAAATCTTTGTTTTTCTGCCCAATCAGAGTGAAGTGTGCTTTGGAGTCCTTTCGTGTGTTTTAACACGGACATAGACAAGAAGTTCAGTTACTCGCCATGTTTATTTGGGGTGTGTGACGGAGCTTTGCTCGAGGTGAAAAGTTTCAATCTCGGTACACAATGTAAGAGAAATCGATCAGATTGTCCGCGAAAATCTTACCGGAAATTATACTGAATACTTTCGCAGGTATCACAAGACAACGTGTTTTAAAGTTTGCCGAGGTTCGTATAAAACATAATGGTTACAGGCGTTAATAGGGACCTTAAGCAGTCGGGACGGCAACGCCATGGAAGTCGTCGATTAAAAAATAAATTTCTACTTTTAATTAGAATTTCGAAAATGGCTGCATGTATTTACTATCTCATACGGCGCCGCAACTCAACCTCAACATAACATATAAAGTAGCGTTAAGTTCCAAATGGAAATTAAAATAATTTGCCGTCACGCAAATTTTGGTGATTTCACGTTGTTGTTTTGCTAAGGACGGCTAAGAAATGTACAAAGTTTTAAAATGCACGCGCTGAGCTATTGTTCTGCCGATTAGATCTTTTGTTTTTCCACGTCCTCGTTGCCGTCGCCATCGTGGTTTGCTTAAGGTCCCTAATATGTCGCTAAACGTTAGACGAGATGTAAGCTTAAATCTTTCTAGATTTTTTGTATAATTTGCTGTTACTGAAACTTTGCCAATCGCGTGAAGTTATTTCGTCGCACGGGCCACGTAGGTATGTCGAGGAATTGGCGCAAACCCGCCATTTCCATCCAATATTTCTTGGTCTTTGGGTTTGTTTTCCCCAATGAAAGCACAGGCGGCCCAGGCTCTGTCAAAGGCTCTTTCGTAGGGGATTATTATAGAGTTTGTATAGTGGTTTAGTTAGACTTGCTTTTGAGCTCCGTAAATATAAAGTTGTGTGAAATAATCAAAGAAATAGTCTTACCTTCATACAGAGTAGTCTGTGCTGTTCTTGTCGCAATTTGAGGCCGTTTTGCTGTGTTTCAGCTTAACGTCCTACCACTACCAAAGAAGAGGGAAGGTATGTAAGCTCTGTCTCACCGGCACACACGCTCGCCAACTAGGAGGCGGTTCAAAGAGAAGTATTTAAGTGTTTTTCGAGCGATTTTGGCAGGCGTGTGTGAGACAGATCTTTCCTACCTTCCCTCTTCTTTGGTAGTGGTAGGACGTTAAGCTGAAACACAGCAAAACGGCCTCAAACCGCGACAAGAACAGCACAGACTACTCTGCATGAAGGTAAGACTTTATTTCTTTGATTATTTCACACAACTTTATATTTACGGAGCTCAAAAGCAAGTCCAACTAAACCACTATATAAACTCTATAATAATCCACTGTGAAAGAGCCTGTGACAGTGACAGAGCCTGGGCCGCCTGTGATGAAAGCAGCATCGATTCCCACTAAATCTTCAACAATCGAAAAAAGAGGTGAAGTGACAATGACCAAGGGACAAGAAGAGAATCCGTGGCCTTTCGCGTTCAAGAATTTGAACACTCCAGACAGCAGTTGAAAGATTAAGCTCTTTTTAAACCCCGTCGGTATCTGTCTGAAAACATATCTCCTTCCCACGATGTTCTCGACGATAAGTTTTTGTTCAGAGTTTAATTCGTTAACCGGAAACACAGCTAAGCTTTCTCTAAGCGCTTGCTGGAGGTCGTCCATGAACTTAACGTTCTCTGCAATCTTGGCCATATTGTGAAAGACTTTACTACAAAGCGAAGATTAAATTTTGGCGCGCACAGAAAGCTACGTAAGCGTAAGCGCCAGTTGCTCGACATACCTGCGTGGCCCGTGCGACGAAATAACTTCACGGGATTGGCAAAGTTTAAGTAAGAGGAAATCATACAAAAAATCTAGAAAGATTCAAGCTTACATCTCGTTTAACGTTTAAAGCGACATTAACGCTTGCAACCATTGTGTTTTATACGAACCTCGCAAACTATAAACACTTTCTGTTGTGATACTTGCGAAAGTATTCAGTATAATTTCCGGTAAGATTTTACGGACAGTCTGATCGATTTCACTTACCCTGTGTGCTGAGACTGAAACTATTCACCTCGAGCAAAGCTCCGTCGTACGGCCCAAAATTATTACATCTCAAGGAACTGAGCGTCTTGTATATGTCCGTGTTAAAACACACGAAAAGGACTCCAAAGCACACTTCACTCTGATTGGGCAGAAAAAAACAAAGATTTTCTGGCACCAATCAGATGCCAGAACGACTGCGACCGTTTAGAACTAGTCTTGTGAGACAATGTCCCCAGGGGCTCTTCCGCCCTAACTTGAAATCGACTCACAGCCCCTGGGTCTCCGAGGATGCCATTCACCTGGAAAACATGAAAAATTACACCTGTCCAGCAAGCAAAATATCAAGTGACCACATTTGCAGCACCCTTAATTCAACTTAATTAGCTAGACAAAGAGGGATACATATATTATCGTGTGTTTGTTTCTCATTTTTTTCCAACAAACTAATAGAAATGGACTTGAGAACCATTTTGAGTTTAAGTATTGAGTTTGTTATAGTTTTTCATACCATATACAGTAGAATTAGTCCCCAGGGCTTTTGGGGTAATGAACAGAAAACAGAACATGCAGGAAAAATTCTGATTTAGCATGAGGAATTGAACATCTAATCTTCGAATTCCATAATCCTAGACTCTCCCTACTGATCCACAAGGGCTCTACTTTGAGCTTGGCCATTACAAGATGTATTCTTTGATTCTCTTTTATCCCATCCTGCAGATGATTAGATCAAATCCAATGTTTCAAGGAAATAGCCAGCTAGCAGATCAGGTGAGTGACCATGACCTAATTTTTAAAACTCTCTTTACATAAGCTGATATAATATTGGCTGGCTTTGTTGACAACATGTAACCAGAAAAGTTTAAAATGTTGGCTTAAAATTTGAGGTGGTTAACTTTAGTTACTAACTTACTAGGGTACCATGTAAAGCAAGAAAAAGCAGCGTACGTATAGTGAACCTTAAATTTCATCCATTATATTTGAGGTCTTCTCTTGTACCATAGAAACAGCCCATACATGTTCAGTTGGCTCAGCCTTTACATGCCATACATTGAGAGTATATCTTTGAATTGCATAGTAGAAAAAGTACTTGAAGAAAGATCATTACTGTCAGAAACTCATTGAAAGTGTTGTGAAAAAAAGTTTGATGTTCAAATGATGGTCTGAGTTGTGGGTTGGCGGCAAGGTGACTAAAATGTGACTTTAATCCTATTAGTAATAAGAAAACTGCGCGAATTACAAATTTTTTATTTTTATAGGTTGCATCAAGGCTTCCAGAATTTATGTCACAGGTAAGATAATTTACATCGAAAATATTCTCAAATCCGATTTTTTTTGTCCCAATGATTTTGTCTCTTAGATAAACCCCAATAAAACCTGAGATAAACGTAGATAAAAAGGACAACCTTTCTGATACTTCTCCCCCTCATTTTAAAAAAGAAAGAACTGAATTTAACTTTTTCAAATACTCAATAATAGTCTTGGGGAAACATTCTTGCTTAGTGATATTAAATCATCTTCTATTTCATTTGCACAATTTTCATGCTTTACGAACATTGTCTTCCAGTGGAGGGTTGTTTTTCGTCTCACAGAAACTTCAGAATCAGTGGCATTGTTGTTTTTGAAAACATGGATAACGTCATTGACGTTAGTGAATTTCCAAAGACCTTGTAGGAAATAAAAGTAAAGAAAGTGAAACTGCCATGGTTCGACCATGTAAGGGCACCTTACCCATTGTTACTGCTAAAAGGAAAGAAAGGATAACAAATAATTGAAATATCATGGAAATGTTTCCCAATTTGTTGCTGATTGCATGTAAATAAACTCGAATTTTTTTTTTGTTGATGAAGGGAAAAGTTGAGCAATCTTTTCAATCTTATAGGCTCTCATCGATGCAATTTATTCCCGAATCACAACATTTTTTGCCCTAAATCTTTTTTTTTCCCTCACCGACGAGAAGCCTTTACTAAAACACATCAAGCAATCAGATTTCAAGGCTTGTTCAAAGAAGCCAATCAAATTAATGGAGAGTGAAAAATAACTTTTGCAACTTTTTAAAAGTCAGCTCAGTATTGGAGCAATAAAATATTTGTACAGACTAAAATATCTTGTATTTGAGTGACTTTATTTTGCGCTTTCAAAATGGATGTAATAAAGAGGTAATTGAACTTCATGTTGTGCGATTTTGGTCTGAAATCGTACCTGTGATTTTAAGTCCAACTCGCGCTGCGCTTTCGTTGAATTTTGAATTCACTCTCATGACTCCAGACCAAAATGCACTCCAATCAGTTTAATTACCATTAGAAATAATTATAATATTGAGTTCAGTTTCTAAACCAATTCAAATTTCCTTATGCCTTAGGCATAGGCTGTGTGTACCCTTTACTACTTTCAATTAACATATCAGAAATAACTGCCTTTCATCCGCATTTAAACAGATGCAGAATCCGGATTTCCAACAAGCCATGACTAACCCTAGAGTAATGCAAGCCTTGATGCAAATACAGCAAGGGATGATGCAGCTACAAGCAGAGGCACCAGGCCTGGTACCAGGAGTGGGGTGAGCTGAACTAGTTGATGAGCCTCTCCAAGGCAGAGTTTTTTTTTTAATAATTTGGATATATCAACAAAGTTGAAATGGTAAATTGGCCACCGTAATGATTACAAAAGCTGACGTTTCGAGCGTTAGCCCTTCGTCGGAGCGAATGGCCAATTTACCATTTCAACTTTGTTGATATATCCAAATTATTTCGTTACTCCCACCGACGCAGCCCCAAACAGTTTCTTTCGAAACTATCAGCCTTTATTCATTTGTTTTTTTTTTTAAGTTTGCGTAGTTAGTATGGCAAAATAGAAGTTAGAGTGAAGTTGAGGAATCGTTAGTGATTCAGCATTTTTCACTGTAAAATATAATGGAGGAGTCTTCTAAACTCCAATTAACAATTGGTTCATACGTCAGCGTGCATTCATCGAGATATGAAGCACGCGGAAAGTTTGGAGAGCACGAAAGATGCGTAAGAGTTACTCGAGG